CAGGCAGTCGGGACCCCTTGGACTGGGGGGGAAGGGAGCACTTCCCACACAGGTTTGCCTTGCCAGAAAATGCTAATTTTTTAATTCAGAATTAGTAAGAGACAGTCAGATTCACCCAACTTTCACCTTCTAAAAGTTAGGCTTGTAATTAAGGTATCATTAAATTCCTTCACTGTTGAGTGAAGAGGAGGCATCTCCACTCAGGGGTTCATTTTGCTTGTCTTGAATAAGATGAATCATGCTCTTTTTCCTTCTGCTTTCTCTTTCTCCCTTCCTTTCCTTTTCTCTTTCCTTCTTCCTCCCTTCCTCAGCACTGTAGAAGCAGACAAGACAATTAGCTTCAATCAGGTACCCAACTTTCAAGATAGCTCAGGTCAGCGAGGTGAATCTCACCTAAAAGGCAGGAATGGGAACCAATATTTGCTTCCACTGAAGAGCCCTTCCCAGGATACCAAATCTGAGGTTTCATACCTGTTGTGAATTGGGAAAAAAAGTGTTATTTGTGTGCATGTACCATTTTAAAATAACAGTGTGAAAGCAGGAGGAGGAACAGAAAAATCCTTTCTCTACCCCAAGACAATTAATTCACTAGGAACAAACATTTCATTCAGACACCTCAATGGGGAGGAAGAAACTTCTGTCTTTGGAAAATAATTTTTTCTTCTGAAAAATATGTTCTTCAGGGTGGACTGGTAATACACTTTGCTGTGTTGAGGCTCAGTGTGTTTCTGTTTAAATGACAGAACTGGGGAAAAGGATGCCCTGTGCTTTACTTGGCTGCACAGCCCTGAATTGAGTCTGCCCAACAAGTCAGAAGGGAAGAAATTCGAGATTATGATGAGCTCGTGCAGAGCATTCCCTCACAAACACAGAATTGGATTTTCTTCCTTCTCTCCTGCTCGAACTGGACAAGGAATAAAGCAACATTTCATGGTGCAGGAATTAACAAAAAGGGAGAGGCTGTCTAGAGGGTTTGGTTGGAGGAGGAAGCTCCAAAAAGGCAGGCAAACCCAGTGAAACTGTTCCAGGTTTGGGGAACAGGAGGGAATAAGGCATATTCTTGTGTTTCAGGTGCCAGGAAAAGATGTCATTTCGTGCTGTCTCTGGTTGTGTGGTAGGCACATTCCCTAGGAGTGAGGTGGAGGCAGTGTGTTATTGCAGCATACCAGAGCTGCTTCAGGCAGCTGCCATGTGCAGACAGTGCATGGAGGAAGAGGAAAGGTTCAGGGGGTAAAAAGAGGGGTCTTTACCCTGTGATACTTGGGCTCAAGTTCCTGTTCTGTCTGATTTTGAGCAGATGAGAGTCCACACTCCTTTTTCCTGCTGTCAAATGAGGATCATCTGATATTGCAGAAGGGAAGTCTGGTGATAGCACAGCTCCAAGTGAAGGCCCATAGACTGAGAGGTGGTGGTGGGTGTCAGAGGCCCTCTCCTGTGGAGATGAGCTGGTGTGACATCAGGCTGTAGGGATTGCTGCCTCCAGCCCTTGAATGGTCCCTTCTTTCTCTCAGGACCTGTTTCTGTAGCAGCTTGTTCTGTGCCTGCAGTGGGTCTTGGAGCTCGAGCTCGCATTTGTTGCTCTTGGTGGTTTGGTTGGGCTTTTATTCCTCCTCATTGCTGCCTTTGGCACAGGACATCCTTGGTAGTATTCTGGAGCACTGTTATTTCAGGGTGTGAAAGAGTCTTAGGCCTTTAATCTGGGAATACAAACTACATCTGTCACCTGGGTATCTGTGGCGGTTTCTAAGCAACCACAAGAGTTTATTTTTTTCTGCAATTCATATTTAAGAAATAATTTGCTCATGCATGAACCAGAATCAGCCTGAGCACCACCCCAGGAGACAGAAATTGTAAACTGTAATTTAGGCTAATTCTAGTCTAAAACATGAATTAGAGTATTTTATGTAATCTTGAAAAATATACCATATAAATAAATGTAAGCACAGAACAGGTACAATTAATTTGAGCACAGTAGGAAGCTTTAAGTAACTCTGGGAATGTGAGAAACCAAGTCGGAACATATTCTTGACATGTAAAAATATTTCCCACCTGCCTTGTTTGCATAAGAACAAGGTTTTAGCAAGTACATATTTGCATGTCAAAGTTAAAAGTGGGGAAAATATTTTCACCCTTGTAAGAAAAAATGCATAATCTTGGCGCAGGCAATTTGCATTTAGTGAGTTTAAAGTATCTTTAAGTCCTTTCATGCTCTGTGGAAAGTGTATGAACGTGACAGGGGTTCCATTTCAATGAGTGCATTTGCAGAGGCCCCACGTGGAGCAGTAATTGATCTGATCTCTCTGTGCATTCATTTCTGCTACAATTGGTTGTGGCAGTCCCGAGTGAGTTCTGCTGCCGAGATCCAGCCACTGGCCTGTGTCTCTGAGTGAAACAGGAACTTGGAGTTTTAAATGCTCTGTGCCTGATTGAAAGGAAGTACCTTGAAGATGTAAATTTGAGTACCTGATTTGGTGCCGTTGCTCATACAAACGATGGTGGGTAAATGCTGGCACAGCTGGAGCCTGTGAATCTGTGGAGATTCTCTTCTGCCAGTAAAGCACCCTGGAAAATGCATTTGGGACTAATTATGGCACCTTTTAGACTATTACTAACCTAGCTTTAGGCCATCACTTTGAAGGCATGTTACATTCCTTCAGAAACCCTCTGCAAATGTCCTGTTGCTTAAGAAATAGGGATTGCATAGACAGGCTTCATGGGTGATTTAACTAACGTGCTGGAGATTGTAGATAAACCAGATCCAATTATATCATACCTCTTCAAAATAAGGCAGTAATTATGTATATAAATGGGAAATGTAAAAAATGCATTGCCATGGAGCTGTGGAGATAAGCCTTGTCAGTGCCCTGTCCAAGGAGCTGCACAAGGCTGCTGATTCACTGCAGCACAGCAGAGAAATAATCCTGTGTTGGAAAGGCACCACTGGGATTTGGTAGAGCTATTCTGGAATTTGCCCACAGGATTGCTCTCTGAATTTGAACTGCACATTGTACAAATCCTGAGTTTCTGTGGGTTTCAGCCTGTTCTTCAGTCTGTGGATGTGAGGGGGGGTTGTGCCGCCCTTTCTGCTCCAAGCTTTGTTCATAAACATATGATGCTCCAGTAATAATTTATGTAACACATTAATGAAACAGCACACACGTTATTTTCCCCTTTTATTAGTTCACTTCCTGCTCCGTTGTGTTTAATGTGTTTGCTGAGAGCAAAGTGAACTAAAAACCATTTTGGGGGAAGAAGTGTTTCCTTCCTTAAGTGTCCTAAACAGACCTTTTGATTTCAGCCTGTGGTTTTGTCACTGCAGGGACGGTGGGGGATCAAAGGTCAGGAATACAAAGGTCCTTACAATGGAAGGAGGTGCAAGTGGTGTCCTGCTGTATGAAAATGTCCTGAAAGCTGCAGTGAACTGCAGTGCAGTCCATGGCTGTTGGGCACTGCTTTCCCCAGCAGACATTTCAGCTGCTCTTGGATTCCTGGGAGCAAATAAGTCCCATTTGGGTGCTTCTCAGCTGCCCCCATCATTGCACTTGGTGTCACCTGGAGAATGTTTTGAAGGAATATTTCAGCACAGTCAGTGCTGTGGTACAAGTCTTCTGCTCTCCTGCTTTATAGTTATCTTATGGTTTGGGCCAGATCCTGAGCTGCAGTGAACTGGAGCACACAGGAGCACTGCAAGATGATTCTTATTTAATATTAAGCAGCCAGTTAGGGATTTAATAGCATGTAAAATGCAGTGTTTCTAAGAGCAGACATGAATTTTTGAAAACAGTGTTGAGTACAACTGAAGTTAAGCTACTGCACTGTAAGACAGTAGCATTAGATGGGATTTTATGTGTTGTCATAGCTAAACTGGATGAAATATCAGCTCTCTTGAACAGGCAGGCAGCTGGTGACTGGATTTCAGTTCCTCAGGAGATGAACAGCACTTGCTAACGTGTCACAGCTCCGGACACAGCACGAGGGGTGTTTGTCCTGCTCAGACCAGGCCGGGTCAGGGCACTGCTGCAGCCTCATCCCGACCCCACTGCGGCACAGGGGGGCTGTCCTGGGCTCTCCAGTCTCTGCCTGGAGCAGGGGGTGTTTGTGAGCACAGCCAGGCACATGTGAGATGTAGGCTGCTGCTATTCCATAGGGTGAAGCAGTGCCTTACACAGCCCTGTCCAAACAGACTTACCAGTAAAATACTGCAGCCAGGGACTCCAAAAGAGTTAAAAGTTCCCTCTTAATCCTACATGCTCAGATGGTAAGGTGCTTGATTTAGAGATAATCACACAGCGAGTTGAGTTCAGTAGGTGTGTTTATATGGATGGATTTCAATACAGAAAATGAGGGCTTTCACACCTTACAACTGCCCAGCATTTCCAGGCTGTGCCGACTCCTCTGGCTGCAGTGAAGGGACTCAGTGCTGCTGTGTGTGCTCCTCCCTCGCTTGTTCTGTGGGAGAGCACACACAAATACGTGCTGATGGCTCCCTTTCTGCTCAGATACAAAAGTTATGGATTTTTCATGCAAAATGTAGTTGCTCTTCACCTTGTTCCCCCCCTTTAGGACTGGCCATGGGAGCTGAGTGGCCCCTCTGGGAAAAGTGGTGCATTTGATTCCAGGCAGGGCAAACTTTAAAATTGCCTGCTATGATCTCACATGAATGCGATTGGAAGAAACCTTTCTAGTGTCATCTTAGCTCTTTGGCCAAAATGTGAACTCTCCTACTCTTTTTGGCTTTGAAATGCTGATTCCAGCCTTCTTGTGGGTTCTTAAACACCTTCTCAAATGACCCATTTTAATAACCCAAAAGCTATTATATAACGAGCAGCCATAATTTAGTCCAAAGCTCTAGGGGATCCTTGCAGTTCAGCAATGAATAGTTAATGCAGTATAATGTTTAGCAGGTTATTAGTTTTCACTGTACAAATGCTGATCAGGGAATGCTTTTATAAGGTGTTTAAAAGAAAATGTAATTAACTGGTTGCGTGCTTCTGTTGCAGCTCAAATTGAAATTATTCCATGCAAGATCTGTGGAGACAAATCATCAGGAATCCATTATGGTGTCATTACATGTGAAGGCTGCAAGGTAAGCTTCTAAAATATTAAGTCTGAAAACAGCACTTAGCCTTTTGATAGTGATTATTTTCCTTCCTTTTTTTAAAGAGCAAGCAGTGGGCCTAAGTAGGATCAGTGGATTCCATTTCAAAGAATATAAAACTGTTGGGGATTCTGAAGCACTGGTTTTATTTGGGTTTTAAATAGTACATTTCTGTGGCACACACACCTGCACTGCCACAGATTTCAGGACAATCCTCAGACTCACAGTTGTGCTGTGTGTGCTGTAAACTGCCTTTCTCTGAGTCAGCAGAACAGGGACAGGAGGATGATCTGCTTCAGGCAGAGCAGCAGGAGTCAGCTCAGTGGGCTCAGCCGAGGGGGAGTTGGGCTTTCTTGCCTCTCCCTCTCTGCTTTTGCTTTGTAAACTGTATGAAGCTGTGCTGAAATAGGTGAGAGCTCTCTGCCCCTCTCTTTTGGTTTGTACTCAGCTACAGTTACAAATCCATTCTGTTTGGCAGGAGGTGGTGTTTCCATGCCCCTGGTGTTCAGCAGGCTCAGGTCCTGCAGGAAGCAGTGCCTGTTCCCTGCAATACAACCACTGCTGCGTGAGGTTTGGGCTCTGGATTTTGTCCTGGAGCTGTACCTTGGTAACTCTAGTGAACAAGGGTTACACCAGCAGCATTTCTATTTTGTTCACAAGCAGGAATTAAACTGGGCAATGCCAGGTGAGAGTGGAGTGAAGTGGTCAGTCCTTTTGCTCACCAGTGCAGGATGCCAGCCCTGGCTTGGGGTGACACAGTGTGCACAGCCAAGCTCCAGCTTGTTGCTCTCTTCGTGTGTGTACATGTTGCAGTCCCCTGCTGGTAGGTTTTCTGCTGTTAATCTACACTTCAGGGATGAAAAATTTATGACAGTTTTTAGTCTGCTCTCCTGACATGTTTGATACCACAACCCCTTCTTCTCTGCATTCACATTATAAAGATTTCTTCTGTGGTTTTCCAAAGATTTTTGTGTTTTCAGTAGCACATTCTCTGAGTCTCATGGAAGTATCGGTAAGAAGGAAGGAAAAAGAATAAATTTTAGAACCTTAGAATGATGTGGGAAGAGCACCTTCTGCCCTTTCTGACTGCTGTTGCTATGGAAAATGCAAGAAATGCACTAAAAATGTATTGATAACAAAGTGATGACTTTTTGCAGGTTTATGTGGCTGAGCAGCCTTTATCAGATGTCAGCTGAGGGAAGTGGCAGACGTTTGCAGGAGAGTTCTGCTGTGGGACTGTCTTGTCAAAGGAGATCCAGTTGTGTTCAAGGTCCGAGACCTCTTTAATCCTTAGGTGGTCTGGGACCTGGATACATGAGAGGCTCCCTGGAGATCCCTGGCAAACATCCTGGCACACACAGACAGGGGTTGGTGTGGTGCTCTTGGGCCTTCTCCACACGGCTGTGGTGGAGCAGGAGTGGCTGCTGAAGGACAGGAATGGAAAGGAAGGGAAAGGGAAAGGAAAGCTGCCAGTCCTGGTATCCTTTGTGTGGTCCTCATGCAGCTCTTCAGCCTGGCCTTCCCCTGAGGGCTGAGTGAGCAAAGCCCCCTCCAGAAGCAGCAGGAAAGGGGGGGAGCAGCCCCTGTGCTCACACTCACCTTGGGGAGGAGGAGCTGGCAGGCCCTGGGCACTGCAGGTGGGAGACAGGGCTGTCCGTGGAGCATTCCTCCCTTGGAGGGACTGCTTTCCCAGGAATAAATGCAAATGTGAGTTATTAGGAGAAAGGTCCTTTGTGCAGCAGTCAGAACAACAGATGCCTGCTGATAGTGAGGAATGTGTGTGCAGCTCCTTACGTGTTAGAACAAAGGATTTGCCTTTGAATGCTGGATAAATTGCAGGACTGAGGATCCCACTGGCATGGTCAGCTGGTGGGAAGGGCAGAGGGCAAGGCAAGCAGGCAGGTGTGCTCAGCACACTGAAACACATCTGGACCTCAAGGCAGAGTGTGCTAAGGAAAACAGTGGCCCATGAGTTTGGCATTTTCTCCCTCTCTTGGAAGAGCACAATAAAGTTTGGTGGCCATACAATTTCAGGCAGAATTTAAAAGCCAATGAATATCAACTTAGTTAACTGAGTTCTTTTCCTTTCAGGAGAGAAATAACTCTGCAGCTCAGTTGTCTTAGTGCCAGAGCCCAGATGACCTGCAGGTAGTGACAGACAGGGCAGTGCTGGTGGGCACAAGTCACAGCAAGAGTTGAAATGATCATGACCTAAACGGCACTAAAAGGCCCCGCTGTGGCTGATGGATTCTGTTTGTGCTACACCTTTCCACAGTAATGTCAACAAAGTCTCACCCAGCAGAACTATTTTGGCTGGTGAAAAGGTTGGCATAGCTTGGCTTCTGCCAGAGGAGCCAGGTGTGTGTTGGAATGGGTTTTTTTCCCAGCTTTTCTGTGGCTGTGACTGCTGCAGGTTGGAGCACGTTTCCATTGCTGTTCATGTTCTGCTGAACCTTCCTCTGGAACAAGGACTTGGCTGTGAAGACCCGGTCCCAGTGCTGGGCTCTGGCTCTGGAGCCAACATCCTGCACCCACAGTCCCAGGGCAGCCATGGGGGTCCTGCCCCAGTGCCCCAAACCCCCCCATGGGCTGGGTGGCAGGAGCAGGGCCTGAGCTGGCAGGAGGGAGCAGATGTGCTGCTGCCCTCCCAGACCCAGCCTGGCAGGGGTGACCTACAGGCAGCAGCAGCAGCAGCGAAGTGGGGCCTTTTCAGCTCCTGCTGGTTTTCACTCCAGTTTAGTGTGAACTTCAGTGTTACTCAGTAGTAACATTAACTGAAATGTTACTGTGCAAATACTAAAAACCACCAGAAATAGAATTTATTTAAAACTTAAAGTGAAATTTTAGTTGCGAAGACATACTTTGCAGTTCTAATCTGTATGTGTGGAATCACAGACCAGCTCAGGTCAAATTGCCTGTTGCTGATCCTGTTGCTCTTCTGCAGGTTGGCAACCCTTGCATTTCACAGAGTTGAAAGTTTCCTGACCTTTTTTTTTTTTTGTTATATTGCATTTCACATAAGTAGAATTGAAGATTTGTAATGAAACCCATTAGTGTTTTTCAAGAAGTTTTCATTTCCTACCTTGCTGTGATGTTGCTGACTGTTTTTATGAAGTTAGTGGCAGTGTTTTGCACAAGCACCATTGAGTGCTCCCAACCCATCAGCCTATTTAGCTGAGTTTAAATATGCCTTTAAAAAAAAAAAATTAACACCTCTCCTCCCCATAAGTGAAAAATTAATTTTTTTAGCCAGGCTGTGTTTTACACTTTATCTAGAAGGGCTCCTGTGGCTTATTATAGATAAAATAAATTTTAAAAGAGAGGGTTCTTTTTCTCTCTGACCATTGCTGATATCCAGTATACAACATATGATGGGGGGAAAAGGGAAGATGAGATTAATCATATAAAGATTTTACTCAGAAGCATGGATGAGGAATGACACAAAGACTGTGCTACAACTCAGAAATAGAAGTCTGTTCTCCTGTGTCAGACTGGGAATACTGTGTTGTAGGAGCACTACTGAAAAAGCTGGCATCTGTATGGAGCAGCTCCTCAGCCATGAGCTGTGGGAACCCGTTACCAACCTTTATTCTGTAGGAGGGACCGTGCTGGGAAAGGAAAGTGGTCTGTACACATCCCTACTCTTTTCTCAGAGCTGAAAGTGGAATCCAGTTCCACGCTGTCAGAAAATACCTGAATGTTTCAAGGGACATAGCAAGGAATTTAGTTGGAAATGAACCTTTTGTGAATGACCTGTGTAATTTAACAGGTGCAGTGCCTTGCCTTTGCAGTCAGCAGCGTTGGTTCATGCCCACCTGCCCCACGAATGCATGGTGGGATCCCTCTCTTTACCTGACTGCACAGCTGGTCTTGCAAAGCCACCATGCAGGGCGCTCCTGGGCACTTCTCGTGCTCTCAAAGCTTTATCAGTGCTGGCTTTTGTCTCTTGTGTCTTTTAAGACCCAAGATGATCTTCATTGTACCTGCAAAGAACATCTGGGTTCGTTACTTCAGGAAACAAGACCTGGTGTGCTGTCCCTGCCCTTCTTGCCTCACTCCTGTCTTTATTACCTGTGTAAAACTGAACATTTTTGCTCTGTTTTCAGTGGCACTATACCTTAGTTATCAAATATTTTATTAACATAGTTTATTAGACAATATTGTCACAGTGCTCTCCTCCCTTTACAAGTAAAGTATTTGTTCATTTTCGTAAAAGGGTTAAAAATCCCATTTGAATGTTGGCCTATTACAGTGTATTTTTCTGATGTTCCTTTGAAGAAAATTTGTGGTGGTTTGCTTTGGAAAACAGTAAAAGGATGACTCCCCCCCAACTAATTGTTAATTGCTCAGAATATTGCAAAACTTAATGATACGTGGAAGTCTTTAAGTATTAGCCATAAATCATGGGATTATGAATAAGCCTTTGTTGTCACAGGCTCACACACAGTCATTCCAAACCCTCTGCCATTAGGATGCAGCAAGGCAGCTGTCAGCTGTTTTCTTGTAATTAAACAGCCAATGAGCAGCTAATTAAGACATATGTGTATACAGAAGTGGAAGTGGGTATGTTAATGAACTGTAGGAATCAATTCATTAAATGAAAATTTGTCAAAAGACCAAACATGAGCTCAGCGTTGCAGGCTGAGCCGGTGGAGGGGAGCCGGGCTGGGACACGGGAGGCTCGGCTGGGTGAGGAGCAGCCCAGACACAAACCGGGCACTGAAGGGACTGAAACTATTAATAGACTTCGCAAAAACTGCTATTTACATTTCAAAGGTCCTTTTTAACAAGTTGTTATTCAAGCTGACTTGCAGATGAAAAGTTCTTGCGCCCTCTTTTTTCCCCCAAACCTGATTTCTTGGCAGCCCATGAAAACCCATAGGTTGTGTTGTGTATAAATAGGAGTCTGAAACGCAGAGACGGAGCCGGGGCTTGTAATCTGCTCTGCTCTTCTCCCGGCCCCGCGTTCGTGCCGCTGCCTGAGGAGGATGCAGAGCTGGGAGTGGAGCGGAGCTCTGTGCTGGCCCCGGAGAGCTCCCTGCGCTCGGGCCGGAGCCGCGCTCGGGGGGTTCCCACAGCACCTCCCGGGTGCAGCGGGGGTTTGTTCCTGTGGATCCCGGGCTGCCCTGCCTGTGGCCCCGTGCAGGGCTGGCTGCGAACGCTCTGCCATTAAAGGCACGTGGCCTGGGCTGGCTCGCACAAGGCTCGGTGCATACACGTGCACCAGGCATGCAGCCACCTCCTCCTTCCCGGGGGGAAATCACAGCCAGCTCCCTGCCTCTGGCAGGAGGGAGGGACGGAGCAGCACAACACAGCGTCTCTCCTCTTCTTTTAATAGAGGGGTGAAAACAACCTGCAGAGAAACTGTATTTACTCCTGTAATAGGGGCTTCCCCCGGGGCTTACAGTGATGCGAGAGCACAAGGACCACCAAGAGCTTGGAAAACTCCCAAGTGAAGGACAACAATGTGAGAAATCTCTCTCTCTTGAATTTAGAAAGACGGCAAAAACTTATGAAGCAAAAGGAAGAATTTATTCAGCGCGCTGGGTCTGGTCTCACACCGAGTTTTTTGGGGAGAAAGACCCTTTGGGTTTAATTTTCATACATTTTATAGTTTCACAAAATCCCACCCTTTTTCAGACAAGTTTAAATATGTTCATTTTTGCCTAAAAAGGTTTCTTTTCTCTGAAAAGGGGCTTTCCCTTCCTTTTGATCGGTTGTGAGGTGTCCCCTGTCACAAAGGATCTTCCTTTGTTCTTAGCCCAAAGAGAGAAGAGAAACCCCTGTGTAGAAAATTTCCACATGGCCCTGAAAGATTTTAATTTTTAGGAACTTTTATATTTCCCTTATCCGGCCAAAAAAGACTCTGATACCCAGGTCCAGTTTGGAACTTGGATACCTTACAACTTTGTGATACACCTATATATAAAAAAAACGTATTTTATTTCTCATAGCAATGTAGAAAAACTTTGAGAGCAAAAAATCCTCAGTTGACCTTCATTGTAAATTCACTCCCAAATCTCAGATACGTGTGTTTCTGTGCTCTGGACAAGTTTAGATTAGTTTTCGAAGTTTGTGGCAAGGTGGATTTTTTATTTCTTTAGCTCCTGCTGATCTTTTCATAGGGTTCGTTTTTAAAAGCACTCTACTGTATCTCTGGTTTGTAAAGTGCAGGTGCTTTTAAAGGCCCCAGTTTCAGGCAGTTCTGCTCTACTGAAGATTTAGCTTGAAGCTGTAACTTAGCTGATACATGGTACGCTAAAATGTATTGAGCAGCTGTGTCTCTAGGGAAAATCTGGAAAAGGAAAAAGCCCAGTATTTTCTCCATTATAATACTAAAAATAATCCTCAGCTTGACAAGACTATTCTTAATAAAGAGAAATGCCAGACTGGCAGCTCAGACTCAGTATATATCTCAGCTGAAGGAAAACATTTGGATCCTGGAGGTTTTAGGACACATTGATTAAGCTGACTCTCAGGATCTCGGCGGTGGCAGAAGAGTTCATGTGGTTCCTCTGTGAGCATGTGATTCAGTGCAACTGAAAAGGTGTTTGGAGAACTGAAATTTTTGGGGACTGATGCAGAACCTTGATCAGTCAGCCCCTGGTCAGCTCAGTCCCTAATCCTGTTTTCCTGGGGAATGGCGTTGCACTTGCCTGTGGACCTGCACTGGAGTGACAGTGTCCGTGAAGGTGCTCTCAGAAGTGAAGCTCTCTAACCGAAGAGTTGGTTCCTCCAGAGGGATCAGTTGTGATGTTGGGATGGTAGAAATTTCCACGGTATTTCAGGTTTTCTTTGGGGTGAAATGCACTCAATTGGAGCTCAGTATGTGCTGTACAATCATCTCACTATTGACAAACATGGAAAAACAGCTGAAAGTTCAATCAAACAGAAACAAAGACCAGAATAAAAGGGTGAGAAATAATGTACAGGAAAAGAGGATTGAAGACAGCACCTTGAATTTCCTTCTTTTTTTTTTATACCCCATGTTTCCCCAGTAAAGTTTTAATAAAAGGGGCATAATGGACACAGACTGGTGCCCTCCTCTAAGACGGAGCAGAGGCTTTGTCTCAGTGTTTCCCATGTCTCTGTCTGCAGGCAGTTTGTTCGGAAGTCTCTCTCTTGAGATTTGCCATCAGAAGCCCTTTCCCCTGTTTGTCTCCCCCGGTGTCTGGACAGTGTGCTGTGCCGAGGGACTCCAGCCTGCAGCCCTCGAGTAAATAAAACATTGGGAAAAGTCCAGCTTTAATTAAAAGGTGCCCAGCCTTGCCAAGGAACTATTTTCTTTGCAGCACTGTTAATTAATCCATTATGTGGCAACGTAAAACTGAAATACTGTGCTCACTGATCTCAAGTGCCTCTTTAGAATGACTCCATCTTTGCAGAATCCTTGTGAAGTAGGTATTACACACACACCAGCTTATGTTTGGGCAGTCTGTGGCTAAAGGATGACATGACTTCAAAGCGAGCAGCTGGTGTAGTGGGAATGACACCACTGCTCTGAGGGAGGCAGGAAAGCTGGAGCGGGGTGGAACCTCCCAGCACTGCCCTCCTTTGGAGATGGGGTTACTCAGCAAACACATCACACACAAAACGTGGGTTGGCCTTGAGAGTCTAAACCCTGCACCCAGTGGAGCAGAACCTCAGTTGTCAGCACCAAGCTGACTCACAAAGTATCAGCAGTGGGGTGGCCGGGGCAGTGCCCTCCCTGTGCTGGCACTGCCGGGGCACCTCCAGTGCTGGGGCAGTTCTGGGCCCCTCAGACAGGAGAGGCACTGAGGGGCTGGAGTGTGTCCAGAGAAGGGACCAGAGCTGGGGAAGGACTGGAGCAGCTGAGGGAGCTGGGGGGGCTCAGCCTGGAGAAAGGGAGGCTCAGGGGAGACCTTCTGGCTCTGCAACTCCCTGACAGGAGAGGGAGCCGGAGGGGGTCGGGCTCTGCTCTCAGGCAAGCAACAGGACAAAAGGAAAAGGCGTCTAGTTGTGGCAGGAGAAGTTTAGATATCAGGGAAAACTTCTTCACTGAAAGGGTGGTCAGGCATTGGAGCAGGCTATCCAAGGAAATGGTGGAATCACTATCCCTGGAAGTGAAGGCGGCATGTGGATGTGGCCCTTGGGGTTTAGTGGTGAGCACAGTGGTGCTGAGATAATGGTTGGGCTCGATGATCTTAGAGGTCTTTTCCAACCTTAATGATTCTGTGAGTATATAAAATTCCTTTAGAAAGTTGTTCTTTGTAGGAGACAGTGCTCAGTGCTGAGTATTTTTAAACATGTGCATACATTGGTGAGGCTGAACGTCAGAGCCTGCCACTGCAGAGAGCAGAACAGGGGAGCAGCTGCTGAATCCTCCCTGTTTTGGAGATCTGTGCTGACCCAGGAAAGATAGAAAATCCAGGAAATCTGGGTCTATAATTAGTTTTACCTCCTTTGGAAAGAACTGGTGTACCATATGTAATATGGGATCTGTAAAATCAGTGGATAAACGTGTATTTCCTTTACATGTTATAACACCTTTTTATGAACTGTTTCTTGCTAGTTACTGTTTTTTGTTTGTTTCTAGGAGAGAAAAAAGCCCCCACCACCAAAACCCTCTTAACTTCCTTTAGTTGACTATAGAGCCCTTGAACTCCATGTTCTGTTAGGTACGCTGCCTTTCAGAGTCTTTATCTGCTGCACCAGTTAACAGCTTCTTGACTTGTATTTTGCACTCGCATGGCAGGGCTTTTTCAGGAGGAGTCAGCAGAGCAATGCCACCTACTCCTGTCCCCGGCAGAAGAACTGTCTGATCGACCGGACCAGCCGCAACCGCTGCCAGCACTGCCGGCTACAGAAATGCCTGGCTGTGGGGATGTCCCGGGATGGTAAGCACTGCTCACACTGCCTGCCTGCACACACTGAGGGAGGCTTTGCTGTGCTGTGGGTTCAGCTCAAACCCACAGGGTTTAAAGGCTGATTGTGCATTGGGCTGATACTTGTGGTCATCAAGTGTTTTTTAGATGTTGCTCCGTATTTTTCTGTGTTATGCGTTGTATGTTTTTACATGTTCACATAAATATCAGGGCAGGTATGAAGTTCTTGGGTTTATTTTTTTTTCTTACTCATCTATTACAGTTCCCAGTTAAGAGCTTTGTATCTGGTCACTTGAAGATGCAGATTTTCAGTCTGATGTTAATACTTTATATGTTCGTTCCAGTTGAAGTGACCTGCTGTGGTTGCAGGTTAACACTGCCTGGGTGCAGGTCAGAACTGTTTCCCAATATCAAGAGAAGTTGAATTGTATATAATGAATAATGAAAAAAAAATGCAAAGAGAAAAATAATGCAGTGTTTTTTCAAAGGTAGAATTCTGAAGAAAATCTGTTCCAGTGCTGTTAATACTAAGCTCAGAATTACAGCTGGAGTAGTGATGAAAGGCCAGCTCTGTAAGATGGACACTTATGTAATTCAGTTAGAACTGGCTTTGCAGCTGATACTTGCACTCCTCCCCACAATGGGGGAGCTGCCACCATTTACCCAGTCTGGAGATTGGAGTCACTGTGTTCCCCTGCCCCGGTGACAGCAGCAAACACACGCACATTACTCTGGGTACATGAGGCCCCATTAAAGAGATTGTTTCCAGATTACATTTACTTCTTGAATTACATTGTCTTAATTTTTTTATTGGGCATGAGACTAAAAAGCTGCAACAGCTGATCATGTAATGACTAGTTCCTCCAACAAGTTTGCTTTCTTGTAGAGAAGTAAAAGGCAGTAGTCACCTTTCTAAAGGACGGGGCTTTTGCAGCTGATACAGGTCCCTGAAATCACATACTGTACCCTGAGGAATTCCCTGGATGCTACAAACCAGTTGCTGCTGGCTGACAGCTACTGCCTCTCAAAGCAGTAGTAATCTGTGTGTGCACGTGTGTACACACACAAATACAGGTTTAACAGTTGCTCACCTAGTAACACTTCTGCTTGTCACAGCGGTGCTGGAGGCAGGTTTGGTGATTCCTCCCATGTGCTCTAGTCCCAGTTCCAGTAAAGCTTGTTATTGATACACTGTGAGCGATACCCCACGTGTTGGCACCTATTTTTAAGTTCACTCTGTGGTGTGAATGTGCAGCTGGCAGGAATTGGACAGTTCATCCTGGGCCAGCATGTTCTGTTTTAACTTCTGCTTTTCCAGGTAAGACTTGAATGCTGAAGAGATGCATCTGTCAACTTTGTTGGACGTTCAGGAGAAAATCTTTTCGGTACAGAAGTGGGAAGTTAATGAATGAAGCTAAACCAGTGGCTTCTAATAGTCCATTTCAGTTGCATGTTAAGAGGGTGTTCTAAAGAGCAGGGGCTGCAGCTGAGTCCCTGTGACCGAGAGCAGCGATCCTGAGGTCTGCCTGTGCTGCTGGTTTGGGGCTCCTGTGGCGTGTAAAGACTGGAGACAGTTCAGAGCCAGCAGTGGGTGTGTGGGAAGGTAACAGCCGTGTGTCTGTGTTTCAGCTGTAAAGTTTGGTCGAATGTCCAAAAAGCAGCGGGACAGCCTGTACGCGGAGGTGCAGAAACACCGACTGCAGCAGCAGCAGCGCGACCACCAGCAGCAGCCGGGAGAGGCAGAGCCGCTCACCCCCACTTACAATATCACCACCAACGGGCTCACAGAGCTGCACGACGACCTCAGTAATTACATTGATGGGCATACCCCTGAAGGTAGCAAAGCAGACTCTGCAGTTAGCAGCTTCTACTTAGACATACAGCCTTCTCCAGATCAGTCGGGTCTTGATATTAATGGAATCAAACCAGAACCAATATGTGACTACACACCAGCATCGGGCTTCTTCCCTTATTGTTCTTTTACAAATGGGGAGACCTCTCCAACTGTGTCCATGGCAGAATTAGGTAATGAGAGAGAAAAGCTTACATTCTAATTGTCTTAACAGTACCCTTTGGATTAAAGTGCCACATTTAGCCAGGTGATAGTGAGAATGCTGCTTCAGTGGAGCTGGGAGCATGTGTGGGCATTCTGCTGTGACGTGCACAGTGTCCTCATCTCGGGTACACACAACAACTTACCCCTCTGGCCTAAAACTCCGGGAGCCTGGGGCTGATCAGCTCTAGGAGTGTTGCTTTTGCTTTCAGTCCTTGCAATAGAACCCTTTGAATACTGATCAACAAGCTAATTCTTAGTGCTGAGCAAACAGACAGCGTATTTCTTTTTTTGCAGATTATTTTTTAACATTTTATCTCCTTTAGCATTACCTCAGTACTCTTATTTCTGACAAAAAGTGATGAGGCTGATTTTGCTCTGCTTTTTACCTGGCAAATCTGAAACCAAAGCACCAGACTAATCTGAGGGCACTTCTCCTTGTCACTGGTTGAAGAGAATCTGGCCCCAGATACTGAAGAAAATTTTTGAATGTAGCAAATTTTGATAATTTCTCCAAAAGCCTTATAACAAACACATTAATTAGCATGTTCTACTTTAAACTCTTCCCTGAATGATGACACTGGGGCTGAGTTCCACAGCTGTGACTTGTCAACAGCTGAGACTGGAGTTAGAGCCTGCTGTGTGAACAGGTTATAAACAAAGTGGAACAGGACATGAGAGAAGTGGTTTCATGATTCTATTACTTCTGTAAGCAGTCAGGTGTTTAAAACTAATTTTGCTTGCTTAAGCAACATTTTTGCTAATTATTTTAGTTACAAAACCCTAAAAAAAATAGTTTGAAAAATCAGGTATTCCACATTAAAATTTTATGTGGTTTATATTCTTTTGAGAAATTTTACAGAGAAGAAGGCTTACTTTATAATGTCCTTATGTTGCAGAATGCTGTTCTCTGCAATATAATTGGTCCTGACAGCCAAAATACTATGTCTGGCTTGAGTTCAAATAATTTCAGATAGGTAAAGATGAGAAGAAAAAGTCAGGTTAAAGACAATGCTGCCAGCTTTGTGTCAGTCAAATGGTTGCTAATTTTCTCGTGGAAGTTATTAAAAAGACTTACATTAAACTCACAATAAAAAAGAAAGGGCTTTTCCTTTGTAGGCCAGGTTTTGAGTTTGGAACACTGGCCTAAAATAAGTTTGTCGTGTTGCTTCCCTTCATTTACACCCTGCTTGCATTAAAGCCTGCACAGTGTGATTTGGGTGCCCAGCGCTGACGTTACTGAACAATGTTTGAAGAATGTTTGTCTGCCAGACCAAGGTTTCAATTTAGGAAGGTGTGGCTGTTCAATGAAAGTATTTAGGTGTGTCCTGCAATACAGTCCAGAAGGGAGGCCGAGCCTTGGGAGTAACATGGGGAATATTTCACCTTCTCTGTCCTGCAAGGGCACAGGGATTGTGCTGCCAGTGGCTGCTACCCAGGACAAATGTCTGAGCTACACACTTGTGAGAAAAAAACAATTGTTCTCAAATACATCAAGGCTGTGATAACAAACCAAGTATAAATGACCTTGTGTTCTACCTTGTTGATTGCTCAGGTAGCACATATAAGCTGAGTTTACCTCCCCTGTGTTAAAAGACTTTTCAGGTAGTCTCTTACATCAAACTACTAATGTGTGAAGGATGGTACTAAACAGCCTGATTGTCCAGCAGTTGTTTGTGAAGGGCTGGGTTTGCTCATTGTCAAACAAGGCCCATTTCACAGATCTGGTGCTCCAGTCCCCCAGACACCCCCATGTTGTTAATGCCCACCGGTCCTGGTGGTTTTAAGCCTTCCTTTCCAGTGGCCTCACAGGCAGAACTGTGAGATAAGTCACAACACTTCTGCTTGGCACGTGCTCAAACAGCAGAACAGGCCCAGAGCCAGGGTAGAAAAGAGAAAGGCAAAGTGGAATTCAGGTGTCTAAATCCCATTCAAGCTTTTGAAGGGGTTCCTGAAGGTTTATGGAACCAGGTTTTATTAATAAATGTAAATCTACCATATAGTTCTTTTAATCAAGTATAGCAGCAGAAAATATTTTATTTGGAATTAAACATTGGATGGAAATTTTAAATTGTGCAGTTAACTAAGCTTCTCTAAAGCTGAAGAAAAACCCTTAGTGATTTCTTAGTGAGTTATCTTAACCATCTGGATTCTCCAATAGATATATTTTTAATATAATATATTGATTATAATAGAAATAATATAATTATATTATGTTACATAATAATATAATAGAATTAATTATAATAAATATGTAATATTTTACATAATAGATTTTAGTATAATATTTTTAAATTATATGAGAAAATATAATGAATATATAAATATGGCACTCACTGGCAGCCTGATGGGATGAGAGTCCTGCTTAGCAGAGCACTAGACAGGTGGTAACTGCCTGTATTTCTTTTTTGGAAAGCCTCAGTTGTATAAAACACAGCCTTGGCATCAGCAGAGGCGCTGCCCGGCTGGCAGGGCTGTGCTGTCCCTGCCCATGGCAGTGTCCCGTGTTCCAAGGCTGTGCCACTGTGACACAGGGAGCACATTCCCGGGTCCGGCAGGATCTGAGCAGGGGTTGTTCTCTGTGGCTCTGTTCGTGCTGTGACTCCCGGCCCAGGTGTCAGAGCTGCCACAAAGGCAGCAGGGGCGGTTCCCGCAGCCGCGCTGCTCTGGGGGCTCCCGGCCTTCCCCGAACTCGCCTTTATTTTGCCCAGTTTGGGATGCTGGAGGTTCCCTTGGCTCCCACCGCGCGTGCCGCGCGTCCTCTGCCGGCGGCGCCGGGCAGCGCCGGGCGGGACAGGAGCGTTCTGCGGCCACAGCAAGGAAACCCGAATTCGGGCACTTTGCCCTCGGCTCGCCCTCCTCCCTCCCCCTGTTGCAGCTGGAATATGTTATTTGCTCACGTCTGAAGGTACAGCTTTGCATTTCTAATGCGTGCCGCTTTCTGCTNTTAGAACATCTTGCACAGAATATTTCCAAGTCACACATGGAAACTTGCCAGTACTTGAGAGAGGAGTTGCAGCAGATAACATGGCAAACTTTCCTGCAGGAAGAAATCGAGAACTACCAGAACAAGGTATGAAAGCACGCCAGGACATGGCATGGTTTCTATCAAGCATGGTATTTCCATAACACACTGCAAAATTCACTTTTTCACTGCTTTCTCTTTACTATCAGGAATGTATATTTCTGTGTGTTTTAAAAAAAAAGCTAGAATCAAAAGCAGCAAGATGGTCAGGATATCCTTTGCATTTGTGATTTGTACAGGTATAGGAAAAGGCAAAGCCATTCTCCTAAAATCTGTAATAAAGAAGGATAGGAAACCACAGGAATTTTTTCAATCCTAGATGGCATGTTATTTTCTTCTCTTAATTTGTAACCTCCTGGATCAACAACAGCACAAGCTGAAGCCACCAAGTGTTGTGATTTTACATGGTGTGTTTTGTTTTGAGTTATAAACACCCTCCAGTTGTCCCTCAGTGTTTGGGTTTTATCTGTGGAATGGCAGTACATTGTCCATGGTGCTGCCACCCCCCTGGGGTACTGTGAGATCTGGTCAATGTTTGCCTTTCCAGCACACCTTCCACAAACTGCTGCCATGGGCTTCATGTGGAAAACTGTCCTGGGAAGTGCTTTGAACGTGTTTTTCATTTCCACAGAAAAATATTTAACCTTTAAGAATATCCTTTTTTCTACATTAGGTAATTTCATTCTGCATTATTATCAACATATGAAAAACTCACGTGCCTTCTTTATGTTGTTCAGAAGATGACCTTCATATACAATCATCTGTCTGTGTGTCCTTCTGAAGATGAGCAAGGCAGATAATTTGCATCCAGTACAAAACACAGAAGTTGATAGGGAAAATGTGATTATGCCCTGCTGGTGGAAATTGGCATTTTCTTTTGATGCAGTGAATGAAATTCCTGCTGAAGTGACCAGAACGGTTACACTTTGACATTTTTGGTTTATATGAAATAAAAATACTCCAACCTGGATCTCTTCTGGCATGACTTGAAGAAGTCTCCCATGTTTGCATTGTCACTCCACAGGAGGCTTTGGCTTGGAGGTCAATTCCCCCTGTTTTATCAGCAGACTGTAGCCAAGAGTGCTGGGGAGAATTCACTGCAGGGGTTTTTTGACTCAGTTTTACTTGATGACAATGAGCTTTGCCAGCCCAGGTCGGTAATCTCTGCATTTCTCTTCTCTCCCACAGCAGAGGGAGGTAATGTGGCAGTTGTGCGCAGTCAAAATCACAGAAGCTATTCAGTATGTAGTGGAATTTGCCAAACGCATTGATGGCTTTATGGAACTGTGTCAAAATGATCAAATTGTGCTTTTAAAAGCAGGTATGTGGGTCAGTTTTAAGGTCTGCTTCTATTAGTTTAACTGAGGAAGGTGTTACTTGTATATAGTGATTGCGTATGCAAATATTCATATGTAGTACGATGATAATTTAAAATCATATGGGGCAAAACCTTACAAATTGTCTCAGAAGTAACTTCATAGTTACTCTGGATAGGAGGAGTTCAAAGTCTACTTACTAAGTTTTCATTATGAACAACGAGACTATGTAAAGATGGAAAAGCTGGATTCAGATTTAATTTTCCATTATTAGGTAAAAATTTCAAGGTAAAAATCCAGATTGTTCTCTGCAAGAGACTGTAGAAGCAATGCAGTTTACAAATACTGGACCAAGTTGTCAAAGCTCTGTGAACATAAATCTAAATGAGCCGCTTTGGCTTCAGAGACTTCATTACTCTAAAAAGAATTATTAGAGTTTATTAGCAATGACTAAGTTGCTTTAGCAAAAACTTCTGAAGGGGTTTATGGGAATTCTTTTAATTCTAGTAGCAAACCAGGCTATACTCTGTTACACCGCAGGAACCTCTTACCCTCCTCAATAGATGATGAAAGCAGAGCATTATTTTTAAATCCTCACTTGCTCTTTGCAGCTGAAGCCTCGACTTCCAGAGTCAAACATACCCTGTTTCTGTTTTAGGGTCTTTAGAGGTTGTGTTCATCAGAATGTGCCGTGCCTTTGACTCCCAGAACAACACAGTCTACTTTGATGGCAAGTATGCTAGCCCAGAGGTTTTCAAGTCCTTAGGTAAGGAAATGTCAAGTGTTGTGTCTTAAAAAAAAATGGAATAAAAATAATAAGGTGGAAGAGCAAGGGAAAAGAGCTGCTTTGAAAAAAATCAGGCTCTAGTGTTCAAATAAAAGAGCTGCAAAGCTCAAACTGCTTGTTTTGTAAGCAGTCATGCTGGCTCTGTTTGAGGCCAAGCTGATTGCAGGAGTTAAAGCAGCTTCACCTGTGCAGTAAAGGACCATTGATGGTAAAAATCAACATTTTGATGAGGGTAGAGCAGTTTGGACTCACTTGTTGAGAACAGAAGCCCAGATTTCATGTCTAGTGTAACACTTTGTATATCCTGTTGGAAAAGACAGCAGATTTTAAGGTAACTTTGGATATTCTGATGTTACTGCTTTGAAGATGTTAATAGTGTTTTATAATGGGCCAAGTCCAGTTATTTGCAGGTAAAGCACTGTAAATCAATTTTTTTGTTAAACCAGAGTTTATAATTTTGAATTTTTTTCTTGTATGTTTTTTCTAATTTTAAAAGGATGTATTTCACTGGGTGTAGATTTGGGCTGGTTTGGAGGGCAGTGGAAACACCTCAGTGGAGAATCAATGCTGTACCATTCCTGAAGTGTTCTCTGCCTTCCTAAAACCCCTCAAGGTGCAAGGTCAGAGTGCAAACAGTTCTGGGCTCCAAGGAAACACAGCTGGATCTGTTTGCAGCTGTATCCAGAGGTTCAGGCTGGGTGGGGGTGAGATGTGCAGAGGAAAGCCCCTTCCCTCAGGCTGTGAGGGCTCCACTTTGCCAGCCCCTCCCTGCATGTGTGCCAGCACAGTAACCTGACTGACACGGTGTGAGCAGGAGGGAGGAAAGGAGGCACAGCTCCTCTGCTGCATGACAAGTGTTCAGATCTTGGCTTGTCCCTCTGCTCTGCATGTTCCTTTTGTGCCTCTCTGTTCCCCTACTCTGTGTGCTCAACAGGCCCCAAACCAGCACTTTGTAAGGCCACGTTTGCAGCCTCCATCCACACTGACGTGAGAAAGCTCCATTTAGAACAGAACCAAAGCTAAACCAGTTTTGAGCTTGAAAATAAATGCCTTGAGATTTATCCATATTTACCCCCCAAGAACCAAATGTAGGAAAGATCCAGTGTGCAAAAGCTTCCAAGCACTGGGTGTGGGAGCTGGAGACCCGTGGGAATGGGGTAATAAGCTCAAGGATGAGTGAGATCTCACTACCATCACTTCACAGTCCTTAAGGGGAAGACCATTCACCTGTGAAGTATTTTACATCTGTTTCTCATCTGCATCAGAATAAATCAATAACTCTGTGGCTCTGAAGTAGTTTTAAACAATGTGACATGAGCCATACCTTCTTTTTGGCAGGTTGTGAAGACTTCATTAGTTTTGTGTTTGAATTTGGAAAAAGTTTATGTTCTATGCACCTGACAGAAGATGAAATAGCTTTGTTTTCTGCGTTTGTTTTAATGTCAGCAGGTAAGAGATGAAGGTTTCCTCTGGCTTTGTTTGGGTAGAGGTCGTTTTTATTTTGAGGTCTTTTTAACGATAACTTTTAAGACTATCAGACAGTGTGGAAATGTCACATCTTTTGGAGTGTCTCCCTCATCAAAAGTTTTATTTTAATAAACACATTACAACTGTGAATTTAGGAATCAGTTTGTTAAGTTGGAAATCCTACTCTAAGCCCTTGTTTTCCACATTTTGACCTTGTTGAGGACTCAGCTTCTTTAGAAAAAAGCTTAAATGCGTGTGAGTGAGACTGCTGGGCTGATCCTGGTGAGACAGGCAGAAGGTAGACACTGAACTCATACAGTCAGCTTTCACAGCTGTGAGCTTCCAGCACCACCTCAGGCCTGTTCAGCAGCATTGCCCTGTTAGTGTGGCAGCTGAGGTGTGTGCCCGCCGTGGGACTGGGGACACCGAGGTTGTGGTGCCAGGTCAGCCCAGAGCCAGCCTGGGTGTGCCATGCCATGGCTGTAAGAACTCCGTGCTCACGGGGCCACGGGCACGGTGCCCCAGGCGCTGGGAACGGCTCCTCAGGCAGGGGGAACAGGATCCTGGGGCAGAAGGTCAGTTTGTGTCTGACTTGGAAGCAAACTGTGGGTTTAGGTGGCAGTGCAGTGGGCTCAGGAGTGGTGGTGAACAGTCTGTGGGCAACAGTGGGTTTGTTGAGAGCATCACAGATCCACTCTTATGCTCTTTGCCAGATGGGAAGTGTGTTAGCCCAGTGTCTTAGCAAGCCCTGGAATCCTGCAGGTCTGGCACACACAGAATGTAACAGCTCATACTACTTTCTGCCATGAAGTTTAGGAGCTGCTTTTTGGTTTTTTTAATATTTGAATCTTTGCATCTGATTTTTCTGTAAGTCACTGGAGATCTTTGCAATATCCACTCCAACTACTCATTCATTATATGATCTGTTCGTTTTGCAGTGAAAAGTTAGTAGCTTCATTTTGTAAATAGCCTGCATTTTACAGACCTTTTTAGCAAACGAGTAATAAATCATACTCAGATTAATTGCATTCTTCTAATTAAGGGCTTTATATAAGTAATTTAATTGAACGTAATAATTGTACTCCAAAACCTGTTGATTTTGAAACTCATTTTCTATATGAGAGTATGTAAAATGGAGGGCAGGTTGCAAACAGGAAGGATGACTCTGTCAGAGTTCCTGGTGCTCTGTGAGCCCTGTGCAGCACTAGAGATGTTAACTCCATTTATGTTCAGATCGCTCATGGCTTCAGGAGAAAGTGAAGATTGAAAAGCTCCAACAGAAGATCCAGCTGGCACTTCAGCATGTCCTACAAAAGAACCACCGAGAGGATGGGATTCTAACAAAGGTAAGAGTCAGACTGGGCCATGACTCTGAAAATATGCTTTCTTAGGAACACTGTTCTGATTAAGGTGTAAAAGCTTTGACGCACTTAAGTTGTTATTTATAAACCCAGAATTCCTTGTTCACAATCAAGGTGCTTAGCTGGAACTATTTACTGAAAACCACAAGAGGTGAAATGATGACGTGCTAGGGAACAGGGTTGGTAATGGTCTGAAAGGAAGGATTTTGATGTGGAACTTCATGAAAAGGGATGAAGTTTTTTATCCTAGTTCTCCTACACGACTTTTCTGCCACACAGTACTATTTCAGTTCTCCAACGTGCAGCCTTAATCCTTGTGGGATCTCTGCCTGCATGACAATTAAGTTTTTATTACATGCAATACCCAAACCAAACTTGTTTTTTAGATTTCCATGAGAAGTTCCCCACACAGCCTTTTTCTCAGTTCTTCCAAATCCTGAAACCTGGGGAAAAGAGACCCCCCACAATATTATGCTCATCTAAAGTATCTTCACATCATTTTTTCAGAAAAGAAAAAGTGGTGTTATGTTACAAGAAGTGGTGTGATGTTACAAGAAGTAAATCTGGAGAACTGAGGAAAAATAAGCCCTTCCTGACAGAGGTAGTTCCTTATACAGGAACAGCCAGAAAGCTTCTGCTTAGTTTCCCACCACAGAATTCATTACAATAAAAGCAGGAGGGTCCAGCCCAGCCTTTGTGGATTTCCTTCATTTCAAATCCTGGCTCATGGACTTCTTTTCTCGGTGTATACTTTGGATGCCTTTGTTGGAAGGAAGTTTCTTCCATGTGCTTTGATACAAATCCTTTACTCAGTAGCTGATATTTTTGTGATATTTTTGAAGTACTTATTTTTCACCTTATTTGGCTTAAGTTAAATAAGTCCAATCTATTGCATTGCCAGTTCCCTCCATAATACTCACAGTGGGTTTAAAAGCAGTTGGGCTGCCTTTTTCCAAGAGTATGATTTAGTTGCATGAATGAAGATCCAGCTCTGAAATTCTGTATCAATCCAGTGAGGAAACCTAATGACACATTTTCCTAGGAACTTAAAGATTATTTGACAAAGAGCTGGGAGTCCATTACGTAAATACCTTTACCACACCCCCTGGCTGTGCACCTGAAATGTCACAGTCTGAACAGTTGTGTTTGGGAGAGTGTAATCCTTGCAGCAGGATCGGGAGGGCTGGTGCCATGTATGACCATATGACTTTGTTCATTTCTTTACAGTTAATATGCAAAGTGTCTACTTTAAGAGCACTGTGTGGACGACATACAGAAAAGCTTATGGCATTTAAAGCAATATACCCAGACATTGTGCGACTTCATTTTCCTCCACTTTACAAGGAGTTGTTCACTTCAGAGTTTGAGCCAGCAATGCAAATTGATGGGTAAACGTATCACCTAAGCACTTCTAGAATGTCTGAAGTACAAACATTAAAACAAAAGAAAGGAAAAAAAAAGGAAAAAAAAAAGAAAGAAAACCAAGACACTTTATATGGCCCTGCACAGACCTAGGGAGCCAACACACTGCACATCTCTTGGCGGTCGGGGTCAGGCGAAGGATGGGAAACAATGACACAAAGTTGAACTTGTTTTTCTCATGCATATGATTTCCATTATGCCTACAAATATGGACCCTTTTTCTGTCTCAGCTTCTCAATCCTTGACCTCTGTTTACACAGACTGAGGGTACTAATGTCAGAAGGTTGTTTTCTCCTGTAGTTCACTGCCCAGACTTTTGACAGAACAATCAATTTGTTGATCAGAACAGAGTCCACCCAATAATCAGCGACTGGTGTGAGGTGCAGAGATTTCAGCATCAGTTTGCACAACTTGCTCATTGTTTCATGAAGGACGATTTTTTTTCACCTACCACTGTTTGCCAGTAGACAGAACGGCATGAAAAGGGTCCATAGCAATAGCAACAATAGCATTATAATATATTACAGGGTAAATGGGCATGAAGACTATATATAGCAAAAGAGATATTGTTTATATATTGTTTTAATTAATATAAAATGTAGTTACTGGTATAGCTTTTCTCGTTGAATTGATAAGGCACTTTCATTTTGCACCTTTTTCTTTAAATTAAATGCTAGCGTGTTCATTGTTGTGTTGCATGTGCACCAGAAATTCAAGTTTAACTGAAAAAGGTTTGGCAGGTACTGGTACATTGGGAGGTATTTATGCTGCTGTTTTCCATGTTACTTTTAAAGAGAGGCTGGTCATATCCTGAAATGGTTACAGATTTTTTTAAAGAGTTGAAAATAATGACAATTTTCTACATAAAAATAATCTTTCCAGATGTTAAATTCAAAGGTACTTTTATTTTTAAATCTTCCAAACCTGGATGTTTAAAATTACATGCCTAAATTCAAATTTAAGTGCACAAGTCAAAAGCCTCATTGTCAAAGGTGCTGAGTTTCACTGTCAGAGTCAAACTAAGCAATTACAGCTCATTTCCAAATGAGTAACACGGCACCTCTGAAAATCAGGCTGTTAAATGGTGTATTTCTGCCCACCATAAATCCAGGTTTGAAGATACTCAAGTCTGTATCTACAGTAAAAGTATGTGTGTATGACATGTATGTGGAAAAGTAATTTTTATACATAATATTCCATACTTTTGTACTCCATATGGTAAACAATGCCTTCAGACTCACACGTGAGCCCAGCAAACCCAGAAGGGGTTTGACTGCAGGGAGATGAGACCCTGACCCCTGTTCTTCCAGCATCCAGCAGTTCAGTTCCAGGGAGCTGATCAGAGAAGTCCATTGCTCTCCTTGTTTAGAAAGAAGCACTTTAAAGTTTAGCAAATGGGGACTAACAAAGTAAAGGCAACACTGTTGCTAGAAAGCATTGGTTCTACTCTGTATAATGCCTGGAAATCATTAATATCATAAATCTGCATTCTGTAATTCTGACTCCTGTACTGCAGAACCAACCAATAAGCTGAATCTTGCAGTCTTATTAATTACATTCCCTCCAGGAAGAATTCTGTCTCTGAGCAAATCTGGCAGCAAACCCAGTGCTGAAGGAGGCAGATTCACAGTAAACAACATTACAAACTGAACTGTGGCTGTTTGAGCCAGAGATGTGTAATTGGGTTTGGATGAGATGGAGATGCATAACTGGATGCCCTGTGGGCCTGCACAAAGGAAGTTTCTGATAAAGTACAAAAGAAAAAGCTGGGAACTTCAAAAAAGGAAAAGGAATGAGACAGAATGTGCTTTAGTTTCCAAGGGTCAACAATCTCACGTATGTTACAGTTGTTGAGAAGTAACACGTGAGTAGAAGCACGCTGAAGCCTAAGGATTTTAAAAAGGAGAATGGGGTCAGTGGATTATGATTAGCAAAATACAGGTTTATTCTGTGGTTTGAACGTGTTTCCTTTGGGGTCAATTTGAGACATTTAGCTGTGACACCTCCTGAAGTGTTCCAGTGTTCCCATCAGGGAGGCTCAGAGCTGTCACTGCTCTCCAGGGTTTGGAGGGAGGGAGAGGAGCATCACTTCCCTCCCCAGAGCAGTGACCCCGACTGTGGGAGGGCAGCACTGCAGCCCTGGGAGCACTGGGATGGAGTCAGGAGAGGGCTCCTGGGAAAAGCCCCCAGAGCTGTCTTTTGCTGCTCCATCCTGCTGCTCCTGGAGAGGGGGCTCAGCCCAGCATGTGGCCTCCCCATCCCAGTGGAACACGTCTGGAATCATTGTTTACTTTATTGGAGTAACTGGCACGATATGGTACTTGCATTCTAATGTCTGTTCCTATTTTTGAAGCAACCCTTTTAACTAACAAATGTTTTCTGAATGTGACCAGCCTTAGGTGCTAGTCCTGTAAAGATCAACTAAACTTAATCTCAGTGTCAACTAATGAGTACTGAAGTAAGACCTGTACGTTTTTAGAGAGCAAAATACAACTCCTGCTTGTGACAACATGTAGACTACCAGGTAAAATATATGGGGATTAATTTTCAGTCACATCCTTTTTCTTACCTTTTCCTGATGAATATTAGTACTTTACCAGGCACCTCGGTGCCAGTGGTTTTGTTTGGAATCTAGTTTGGCATATTTACACTCCTAAGTCATTGACAACACCATTTTTGGAGCATTTACTAATACAGTACATAACTATAAAAGGTTTCAGACAGGGCCTTAGCTGACAGTGATCTTCCAGGCTGGAAAGGGCTGTCATTTTTGTTGGTGGGAGTTCCTGTGCTGGCCCCTTGTTAAATCAGGCTGTGCACACCCCCCAGGTAACTCTGCTGTCCTGATCCCAGGAACAGCCACTTGGCAAAAGAGTGTAATTCTTGTTTTGCTCTCCATGGAGAGGGGAAGAAAGGGCTGCAGCCTGGCAGAGGTACTGATGAGATCTGCCAAGGAGGCTTTTATGGAAGGGGACACCGGCTGACACTGGGGTGGCTGGTCAGGGATGGCCCTGCCAGAACCAGCAGAGGAGACACATCTGCCCAACCTCTGGGACTGGGGCTGGGGTCAGATGCTCAAACAGATACTCAGTTAAAAACATACTTGAGGTCAGTGGATATTCATGAGTATTTTCATAATCTGCCCAGTTCACTACAAATAAAACACTAGGATAGCTAAGAGAAAGGAATATATTAGGGTTTATGACCTGGTCCTCAGAGTCTGCACAGATGTTTTCATTGGGTTATATCTATCCATGGAGATGTTCTCTGGCTTTCTAGAAGGAGACACTGTCCTGTCATTGGAACCACCCTAATGTGTGTCATCCCCTCCAGCACTGATTGACATTGAAAAACTATGGGATTAGGTAAAAAAGGGAGGCTGTTTTTAAGTTTGGTTGTTCTTTATTAGCTTCTCTTAGTCTGGATACCAAGATATCTGTGTATGTGCACCTGTGTGTGTGTGAGAGAGTCCATTGTGTGAGCACACGAGTGTTTGTGTGGGTCCGTGTGAGTGGCTGCTTCTAGGCTGTTCAGTGTCAATGAATAAAGAAAATGTATTCAAAATACTTAAGTCAAAAATAGAAGGTGGAAAAAAGATTTATTCTATACAAAGCCTTGTCTGGACCACTTTAGAGAGACTTCTATTTTTTTAACCCTTCTATAAATGTTTGATGGCACTTGAAATATTCCTGCAATAAAATGTGATTTGTGTAAACATTAAAAAAAAAAGATTTTGTAATGTGAAACAATGAAAGAAAGTAATGTAATTTTTCTAAAAAACAAAAAAAACACAAACGAACGAACTTTGTATTATTTTCTTGATGGAATTTGTCTATTTGTCTTTGGAAAACTTTTTATTTCATTGAATGTGCCATAGTAGAGGTGTGTTTTTCTTTTTCTTTCCTTTTTTTTTGTTGTTTTTACATTTTAGATTAAAGGAATAGCTGTGTTCCGACATTCCAAAATGCAAGATGACATAGCAGTCATGATTAAAAGGTTTGATTAGTAAGCTTCAATCATTGTTGCTTTTTTTGCACATGTTCTTCATTCCTCTACAGTGCAATATGTACATAGAGCACTTGCGGGTGTAACCTTGATCCCTCAGGGAAAAATACATATTTGTACAGGATTTTTCTTTTTTTTGCCTTTTTTCTTTTCTTTCCTTTTTTTCTTTTTCTTTTTTTTTTTTTTTGCTAAGGAATGTCGATTGAATCACTTGTCTGTTGTTGAGGGGCAGCCAGATAATAATCCTAAACCACTGTCACAAAACATTGATTGTTTAAATTTTGTGCCCTTTTATTATTTAAAAAAGAAAAATAAAAGTTATTTTCTGACAGTTCTTTGTGCTGATTGGTGAAAAAAAGGGTAAATAGATAAGCACCTTATGATTGACTTAACTGTGAATGACAATCCATCTCGTTTCCAACAAGAGAAGCCCTATCATTTTGGAGCTGGGGTTATGAGGCAGAAACTAATGTGCTCAGGGATCTTCTAAAACTCTTCAACAGGGTGGCCAGTACTGCTGGTGGAACAAATTGCTTTTTAAAAAATCTGCTTGTATTTCTTCCCTTCCCCCTCCCCCCAGGCACAGGAGAACTGGATATTTTTGTTAGCTAAACGTGTGTGCCTCGTTCTCTGACTCACTTTTGCAGCACAGCTGCTTTTTGGTCGCTATTTTGTTCGAGACAAAACTCCAAACAGCGCAAAGGCTTCACAGTTATATTTTAGGAAATAAATGCTGACCCACTAAATAAATGATTGAAATTAATTTCAGTACCCTCTGGATGTTTTCATAACGATAGGACTATTTTTCCAGCTGAAATTCAGTGTTCTGCAACAGGAAATGGCTTTTCAGTATTTAAGTTGTCAAAGAAAACGGGTCAGTGGCTGGTAGTACATTAGGAATGAAAAGGTCATGGTTAGGTGGCAGCAGTGAAGTCACACAGAAAGGGACACAGATCTGCAGGAATACAGGAACAGCACTTCAGACGTTGTCTGGCATTGTTGCAGATGTTTCATGGTAAAGCAAAAGACCTGACTGGAGAGGAACACTGAGGCAGAAGACACTGTCATGTCTAGTACAGCCATGTCATGTCTAGTACAGCCAGTACAGCCATTCCGAGGGGTTTGGCAGTGCCTGGGAAGTGCCCCAGTGCCAGGCTGGAGGCTGCTGGAAGCCTGGCCCAATGAGCTGTGTGTTGTGGCTTCACAAAAGCAGGGACAAACTACCAACAAAGGGAGCAAGACTTCAAGCCTTTGGTTATGCTGGGAAGAGAGTGGCTTTCTCCATCAAACCTGTCTGCTTGCAGAAAGCACCAGTTTTCCAGCATTTTTGAGGGGTTTTCACGGGTATTTGGCTTCCAGCTGTTTACTTTAGATTGCTTAGGACACAGGGAAAGTGGCTTCTCCAGCTGCCAGGCAGTTGAGCCTGGAATGGCCTTCCCAGGCAGAGCAGGGCTGAGCCAGCACTGCCCTCCTGATCAGTTGGTGTGCTTGGCAGCTCCAGCAGAGAATTCCTGCTGCTGATCATAATAGACCCCGTTCTTTCCAGACTTGCACATCAATTAAACCTCCTCTTAGAATGGACAATCGATCAGATGTTTAACTGTGCAATGGGATGAGCCAAACACTACAGTATCTTTTTCTGGATTGGCATAGACAGTCCCCAGTCTGTAGTGGATGAATTGAACAGGTTACACAGGATAAGCTGTGCAAACAATGTGTATTTTTTTCCCTAGACATTCCTAAACTCCCCAATGTAGATAACCCCATTAATATAAATGTCAGAAACAGCATTTACTATACAATATCCAAAAATAATAAGCAATTTTCTCTTGAGTATTCAGTGTATGAAATTCTACCTGTGCTAGTGATTCAGATTGCACAGAACACCTTTATTTTCCCTAGCTGGAGAAATATAACTATTAGAATTATTTTTTCATAATTAATACTAATATTTATTACTTTTAAAGTTTCATCCATTAATATATTTGAATATGAGCCTCCTATTTCCTCTTTGTTTAAATATTCCTGTCAGTAAATCATTTGGTGGAAATGAGGGCACATGCATACAGATACCAAATACGACAACAAAAAGCAAAGTTTTCAAATGTAAAGGAGTATTTATTTAAAAATCCTTGCAGTATGTGCTTTAACTCTAGTACTGTGATAATGGCTCGCTATGTAATGCTCAGTCACTGGACTTGGGGGGGAAATGTGTAACATTTAGGAGAATATACAGTCTATCTTTGGAACTTCATTCAGGTACTAAATAGAATTTTAACATCAAAACAGAAGCTGTATTCTACCTTTTCCATATGTAATGTTGCTGTTTGTATTTTTTTTGCCTTTATCATTGGTAGAATATAGCAATAACTTTATAGCAATAAGTAGGCTATCCAAATAAGAAACAAAACATGATAAAGGCTTCAGATCAATACTCATGGGTTCACTTCTTCTGCCACAAGATTCACTTGTATGTCTTCCCTCATCATCTCATCACTTCTTCAAGCTGAGCTTCACAATCAAGTTGTCCAACTTGATGTGTGCCATCACCCTTTGTTACCACGTGCATGTTCTCGGTGTTCCCATGTCCTGTGTGTACTTGTTCTCCCGTGGTAGTGTTTCTCAGGGGTTCTGAAAGCACCATCTCCGGGGCTGTGTTTCTCTCTGTGTTGGCATGAGCCCCTTTTGCCGGGCGGGGATGTGACCGGGCTGTCATTAGTGGCAGCCTCCTCGCTGAGGGAGCCGAGCAGCTGCTGTTCCTGGGCCCTCTGGGCTGCTCCCAAGGCCCGCAGCCCCCAGGCAGCTCCTGCGGCTGCCCCGGTGTGGGGCTGAGCTGCATCTCCAGCTCCCTGGGCAGCGTGTGCCCTGTGCCAGCACAACGCTGGCCGCGCTGGAGCCCCGCTCTGCTCCCACCCCAGCAGCGTTCGCCTCACACGGGCTCTGATAGCGATCTGAACGCTCCGGCAGCGCTCAGATGACCAGTTGTGACTTTCGGTTTGAGAAACACTAGCCCGGGTTACCCCCCAGAGTGTCGGTGTGGATGCACAGCCCTTACAGGAACTTGCAATCTGTAATCTCATCTCTGCTAAGGCAGAGGATTCATAAGCAATACAGTGAATTGTAGTTCACAAAAAGGCAAACGTACTGTACACCTCTGGAAATCCAAAACGTTCCTCATTTCTACACTGATTTCGAACAAGTCACAGAACAGTGGTCAATGTTTGAAGTATTAGGACATTAACTGGCTGCTTCTTTCTATGTAACTGTATTGTCTGCCTGCTCCTTTTCTGGAGAAGTGTTTTTGTATTGGATGTTTGGGCCAATGGGAGGCTTCAAGCTACAATGTATTTTCCCAGATTAAATATATTTAACATATGACAAACCCCAGACAAGGCTTTTTAAAATGTATAAAGAACTGCAGTGTTAGGTGGTTTATTTGCAAACTGTTTTCAATGTTGTCCATTTTTATGGCACCTTTAACAATATTCTTGTTTCCAAAGTACAAAAAAAAGGTTAAAAATACTCTAGCCATAACTGAATGTCAAGCAATAAAAACAAATGACTTTTTGTGCATAGATTTAAAAGAAATACAAGTTTTAGACATCTGCATGTAAATGCAATCTCTTGTTTACTGCTTTCTTAAACTTGAGCAACTGATTCCTTATTTTACTACTAATTTAAGGACTTGTAATGGCCTGTAAACATTTTATCTTGCTCTATTCTTTCAACTCTAACTTTGTCTCTGCTTTGGAGTCATAATATTTAATGTTGTTCTGCTCACCTCTATACAGTTAACTTTTTGCTTTCATTCTGTATAGATAAAGTTATACTATAAACAGCCTACACAGTGCAAATATTTATCTGTTTATCAAATACCACATTATGCTGTATAATATCTGTTTTACTATATAATCTATTTTAGACATAGCTGTTTAGAACTAGAGTGTGCTATTTTTGTGTTTTTCTGATGTGTGGTGCTAGATAAGTTACTTTTGTGAACAAAAACAAACCCCTTTTATTCCTAGACAATACCACCTTTGGGTCTTGTTAATTTCACTGAGTATAACTATATATAAATATATATATTTGTGTATATATATATATACACCAACATATGCCCAACAAGTACCTGTATCAGAGTACAAGATTTGGGACATGGTTTTCTCTTTAAATGCATAGTGTCATTATATAAATTATTCTATAGTATATTTAATAAGGAGAAAATTACTTCACCGGTACAGATACTTGATATCAAATGTAGAATTTTTTTCTACATTATTAACATTATTAATTATTAACGTTATTAAAAATGTTCTGTCCAGCTTGTTATCCTTTTGGTTACTAAGACAGTCTGCCTGTATTGTATCAAACCCAAGAGAAACATCTAATGTGCCAGTACAAAGCAGCTCCGGCGTGCTGGCTGCCTGTGAGGGAGGCGGTTCTGTGGCTGTTGGGAGAGCTCTGCTGTGTTGCACGAAGGGTGTAGCTGTTCTGTGCCAGGTGCCTTCCTCCCCGCTCCCTCGGGATGGCATCTGAACACACCCCATGGGGGTGTGCCCGGGCCAGGCCTGCACTGAGCTGCAGCGGCTGTAAATAGGAATGTTCTGGAACTCCTCCGTAGGGATGGTTGGCTCAGTTCCCTCCTTGGATATGCTTTAGAACCAGGCACACATATCCAGGGACAGCCAGTGGCAACTAAAGTTCATTAAGAAGTGGAATTTGCAACGTTTTGTCAGGTATGGGGGTTTTGTTTTTCTTTTTTCATGTATACCTTAATTTACGTAGCCATGTACCCTTCAAAGTACTCCTGTCCCCTGTTCCCTTCATTCTAGATATTGTTTTCATGTTCATTCTTTAAAACTGATGGATATCAAATATCTAACTAAGGAGGTAATTAACCTTTTAAATATTTATTAGAATTTTTCTGTAATATTACTGAATTTATAAGATCTTTAGCAAAGATTTTTGAGCAATTTATTAATAACAATGTTTCTGTTTACTGCACTTTTTGATAATAGAAGGTAGTGAATTTTAAAGCCATGGTTCTTGGCTTCCATGCACTGCTTTTATACCCTCAATCCAAGGAATATATATATATAAATAATTTTTTTTAAACAGCAAACATACTGTTGACCTAAAAACAAATACAAACTTTACTGCACCGTAGGTATATTTTCATAAGTGGAATGTTTAACTGCAAACACTATCAGGACAATTATAAAAACCTCTTGAAGCTACAATCTTATTTAAATATAAGCCATGACAATTTTATTTTCCCTTGTTGATTTAAGTCACCTTTTGATATTTTGAAAGAGAAAAGGACTACTCTTAAATCTGTACGTTCCAACCTACAGGTAATGCCAGGAACACGTTCCCCCATTGTTTGAACAGTTTGATATATTTATGCAAAACCATCTGGTTAACATTTCTCCTCCCTCTTTACTAAATATTCAGTGTACCAACGCCAGAATCAATGCTGATTACAAACACACATCAGATTGAAGATTAAGCACACAGACTTAAAAAACCTCCCTGAGTGAAATGCTCAGATTTCTGTAAATACACACAAGTTGAAATGCAATGATACTGTACATGTAAATATGTGCTGTCTGTTATGTGTACAGTATGTATAAATTCCTTTTCTAGCCACAATAAAGTGTAAGCCATCAAGAGGAATACTAAAGTGGTATTGTACTAAACCTTTGCTAATGATCTTTACCCAGTCACTTCACTTGTCCCCCTCATGGACCTTTCCAGCTCACCCCTACAATAGCCTGCTTATATTCGAGTTTGTTATTTTACTCAGTCCCGAAAAAAGTATTTTGATTCATTTTGTAAATATGACTGTAAAAATAAGAGATTTAATGTTGTCTTTTAAATACTCCAATTTTCATTCTAATATGAATGTTGTTATATTGTACTTAGAAACTGTACCTTTAATATTACATTACCTTTATTAAGTGCATTGAACACATCGATTTTAGATGTGCTTTATGTACTGTTATCCTGTAATAAAACTTCAGCTTCTAATGGAAAAATCTGTCTTAACTTTTTGTCAGTAGCATCTTGCTTGTTTTTCTGAGTTGTGGTTAGTAGGTTTATTCCTTCAGGAATGCACTGATACAAATCAGGCTGTGCTTCCAAGCCCATGTGTCAGAGCTGTTTTCACACAAACATTACATTGCATTTGTCAGCAGGGAAACAGGATGACTCCTGAATACCTTTTAAGCTCCCCTTTTGGCCAACAAGAGCTTTAAACCTTCTCAGAATGGGTGTGGATTAACCTACCTTCCCTCTCCTTGTCTTCATGTTTGAAATCACAGTTCACTGCACCAAGTGCCAAACACAAGAAATCTGCCACGAAGCCCTCCCAGGGACCTTCCCGGTGGAATTACCACTTTGGGATAGATCTAAATGAGGATTTGGGTATCAAAATTGAAGTTTTAATACAATTTAGGCATCAAAAATCAAAGTTGCAACTCCCCTCTGCTGTGCTAACCTTGGGAGCACCTGACTGTACCAGCAGCATGCTTGGTCTTGGGGCATGTGAACTTCTCCTTGTGCAGCTCCTCAGAAATGCCTCAGTCCTGCCAGAGCTTTGAACAGCTCAGGATTTATATGCCTGACCATGTCCCAGGAATAGACACTAGCATTCACCTTTAAGCACTGGATCTGGGAGCAGCTTCACCTGCCGATCAGCTCCACAAAAAAAGGAGTGGAAGTGGTAACTCTCAGAAGTGCAGCACTGGGCAGTGCCATTTGTTCTGCAGCAGCTCCATGTCTGCAGCAAAGACACTGAAACCCCAGATTTAACTTTCTCATCCTCAGGACGTGATCGCTGCGCAATCTTTCCAGTCACAGGAGAGTTCCTAACCAGCAAGATAGAGGTTAGGCAGCAACTATAGAAAGAACCATGTAAGTTCAATATAAAACACAGGAGGTTTTCTGAAGTTAGAGACAAACTGAGGACTCCTGTCCTTGCCCATAAGGAAGGCTAAGCTGTACATTTGGAGGTGGTGGGTTTGATCCCTGATTATTTCGCAGAACCACAGAACTGTTGAGGGAGGCAGGGCCTTCCAGAGGTCACGGGCAGGGCCACCAAGCACTGGTTGCCCACAACCACACCCAGCTTTTGAGAGTGTCTCCAAGGATGGTGACTCCACAACCTCCTTGGGCAGCCTGTGCCAGTGTTTGTCACTCTCACAGTGGAAACATGTTTCCTGATGTTTGTGTTTATGCCGTGGAAGGAAAAAGATCACCTGTAGGAAGTAGCACCATTTTATTAAAAAAAGAACCAAAAAAACCCAAAACAAAAACAAACAAACAAAAAACCACACCAGAAAACAGACACTGCAGGTTTTAGAGATGCAGTCTGAAGTAGGATTTAACCTGCCACATTCACCAAGATAAGCCTCCTTGTCATTGAGCTGTGTCACTGTTGCCATACCTGGGCTGGTCAGTGAGATCTCTCCTTGGAGGCTCCACCACTGGGCTCTGGATGGGTCCACCAGGGACAGGAAACCTTCCTGCTCCTCTGAGACACACAAATGGAGAGAGGGCAGAATTAAAATCAATGTCCTTAAAAGTGATCTGCAAGGAAGCTGAAGACCCCCCCTTGTTGGTGGGTTTGGAAATCATTCTGAATCATCTCTGTGTTCCCATGTATTAGCCCAGTTTTAGTCACAGGACACCAGGGGGACACTGACTGCTCCATGTCCCATCCTCACTGCCCTTCATTTCCCCACCTGTGGAGCAATGACGGGTCATCTTTTTGTTGTAGCATTGCAGGCAAACGAGTTTTCATCACCCAAATCTATGGGTTCTGACAATACCCGAATTCCACATTTTACCACCCCGGGCAGTCTGATCATCAGGACAAAAAAAAAAATAAAAAAATAAAACAACCAAAAAACCCAACACTTTTGTGGCTCTGCCCACGAGATAACAAACGAGAAGTGATCCAGGGAAACTGAACGGCCAGGAGAGGAGCGAAGCTGAGGAACGGGGCACCTCAGCCCTCATAGATGACCCCAACCCTTGAGGGACGGGCTGGGCGGCCACCGGTGCCGCCCGGGATACCTGCCCCCTGCTCAGGGCACACACGGCTGCTCAAGGCCCCACCTCTGCACACCCGGGGCGGGACGTGCCGCTCACGGACCCGCCGACGAGTCCGCCGCGCCCTCACGGCCCCGCCCGCCGTAACATGGCGGCCGCGCCCTGAGGCGGCCGCTGCCGCCCGCGCCCCTATTGGCTGGCTCGGAGCACCTGACCCGCGCGCCGGGCGCTGATTGGCCAGTGGCGTGAGGGGGCGTGCCAAGATGGCGGCCGCGGGGCCGCCGCTGAGCTGGTGAGCGAGTACCCCGTGCCGGCCGAGCCAGGCGGGGGCAGCGGGACACGGCGGGGCCAGCGAGACACGGCCCCGCGCTGCCCCGCCGGGGGTAGAACGCGCCGCAGTCTGGGGGCAGCGCGGCAGACCCGGTCCCCGCCCCGTCCGGCGCCGTCCCGGCGCTGAGGGCGGGCGGGAGGGTGTGCGAGCCATTCCTTGTCGCTCCCGCCGCGGGAGCGGGAGGAGCGGAATCCCTTCCCTGAGGGGCTCTGTGTCCGTGTGTGCCCACGGCGGAGGGACAGCGAGGGCTTGGAAATCCGGGGCCGTGGCGTTGTTCGTGTTTCTAACACGAAACGCCCCGCAAAGACGTAGTTCGGCTCCTTTAACCGAGGGGTGGGATGGGTTTGAATTAGTTTGTGTGTGATGGGTTTGAATTAGTTTGTGAGGTAAGACGTAAATAAATCCTTTCTTACACTTTTCACAATAGGTTAGGAAGGTTGGTGTCGTATAAACCCTGTACACTGGAAGGGCTACATTAAAAAAAAAAATATTGACGGTAAGATCAGTGTAGAAAACAAAACCAACTCTTTTCTGAAAAAAAAAAAAAAAAAGAAGAAGAAAAAACGGTGTATCTTTCGCAAAAATTCCAGCAAGTTTAACCCAAAGTTTGGTTTTCTTTGATGAACATATGAAAGTGTGTAACTACCATCAGTTTCTCTCACCGCATCTAGAATTTATATATTGCATTAGTGAAACTGTTCTTCTGTACTGTAAGGAATGTGTATTTTACTGTTGAAAACCAGATGGAACTAGTATGTCTGTAACTTCCACAAAGAGGAAATCTGGAAACACTGTGTAGGCATTCTCTTTTATTTTATAAATTATTCTGGGTTTTGTTTCTTGGGGGCAGGTGTGGCCTTTGATTTTTTTGTATTGCAATGTATTTGTGTTTTTTTTTTTTATTATTAGGGATATTACACCAAAAAATGGCAAAGAAGTATTTTTCTCACACGAACTTTATGACAAATATTCCCTGTCTCCAAGCCTGTCTGAACTGTGGCATTTATCGAGAAGGTATATTGTGTTACGTTATCACCTTGTGCTCTTTGTTATCATCCCATGGACAGAGTCTCATACTGTTTTGGGGGAAAGCTGGGTGTTCTCTGGCACACAGGGGTTTGTTACTGACTCCTCCAGCATGTCTGTGCTTCAGCTGCTGTGACACCTCAGAGAGCAGGAGGAGTCCAGGTTGGGCCCTCTGGGATTCTCTGTCTTGAAGGGGGTATTTTGAGGGTTTTGGGATAGAGGTTGGGTTATTTGTTGGGGCTGGTGCCTGTTTTTGCTTTCTCTTACCTACCAAAGAGGGATGAAGTTTGACCCACACCCTTAACTGGTCAGGGCGAGGGGCCTGTAACCCACAAACCAGACCTAATGCTTTTTAGGGATTCATGTCTCGCTGTCTGTCCGTGTCTTCTCACTTTGTAGAAGGGTGACAGTCCTGTACATTGAAATCCTTTTCACTTTTGTCTTTTGGAAGTAGCCAGCACTGTTTTCATTAACCCAACGGCACGGGAGCATAAACCCAACTCCATAGGTGCAGTGGAGATACAATTAATTCCTTGATTACTGCAGAAACTCTGTAGAGGGAAATGAAACTGTGTGAACACAGGTGGTACAGGCAGTGTTGTTTGTGCAGGTTTTTTGTCCTTTTTTTTCCTTAAGGAAGCAGAATCAGTGTTTATTTTGCATAGTGAAAGGCCTGTCTCGTGCTGCTGGATTTGAGCATTTGGGGGGCTGTGTTTAGAGCACTGGTTTTCCTCAGCAGTTGTGAAGCCGGCAGGGAGGTGCAGGTGTCTCCTGGGGAATGAACAGGCACACCACAGAACCACGGAGCTCCTGTGCTCCGAGGGGGAAGTTCAGCATGGGGAGAGATAACTTGTGCAAAAGGGGAATTACTGTATTTTTATGAACTGACAATGAGAACATGCCACTTGAGAGGAATACCTGCTCTCTCTATCCCACATCTTTAACCAGAGAAGGCTTTTCTGGTTCATCTCTGTTGGAGCAGCTTTCCTTGGAACTGGCAAGAGATGAGCACAGCCCTCACAGCTCGCTGCTGGTACACCTGATACTACTGTAGGATTCTTCCTTTGAAGGGTGTCTGGAGTAGACACTCAGGAGTGGGATTGTGTTCAGCTGTGTGTGGTTCAGGTGAGTTTACAGCCAGGAGAGGCCAGAGAGGCTGCAACTGGGAAAAATCAGGAACTGATGGAACTGGATTGTGTGGCCATAGTCAGGGGGCAGAGAAATTAAACCTCTTGGAGCAAATGTGAAAGGAAAAGCTGTAGGAAATTTGCCAGTTTTTATATTGGGGTTTCTGACAGATATTTACTTAAGTCTTGGTGTAGAAGCTGTGAAGGCAGGGTGCTGATAAAATGAAGGGGCAAATTTAAGCTGTCAGCTCCAGTGAAGGATAGTGCTGTAAATATGGGCAGAAAAGCTCTGTCAGATTATTTTGGTTTGCACCCCGGTGAAACCTGTGACAGCACTGCATACTGAAATGATCTTGATGTGCTGCCATTTCATTCAGTGCTGAATGCAGCCAATTTGAGCTGCTAGAATTTCTTGATGTTCCTACATTGGCATATCTGAGTCAGCATCTTGTCGCTGCTCCAGCTTAATTAAATTTGCCAGTTTGTGCCACGGGGATGGACACATCCCTGTATCCAGAGAGACAGCTGTGAAGTGTTATTAAGAGCTGTGGATGTGATACTGCTGGGTTTGAATGACACTAGAGATGTTTCCTACTGCTGAAATAGTATCTTAAAAATATGCTTTTTCCAAGATCAGCAGTTAATGTTCATTTTGTCTGCCTTAAGTATTTTCTCTCTTAAGAACAATTATTTTAAATAGAGCAGGGCTGAGCTGGTTGGCATTCATGTACTGGAGTGGTTTTAAGAACCAGCTTTGTTGTTTTTAGGGCAGCTGTGCCCCTTGCCCTGGCCTAATGTCATTTGTGGTGGCTCATTCCAGCATTATTTAGAGTAGAAAATTAAACTCTTGAACTGTGTGCTCTGTAAGAATTTCTTCATTAAAATCTGGAGTTTCTGGTGTTACAGTGAAGTAATTTAAATTTTCTTCTTTTACAGTGAAAGACTTAACTAGAAAAAGCCTTTCTCCTTTACTATCATAACTGACTTTTAAGTTTGACCTTTCTGAGTGCAAACTGAACACCAGCCATCAGTGAGTGATGAAATGTGGAGATTCTTTATCTTTTCATTAATGATGGGTGTTTCCAGAGCAAGGAATCCATTTCACATTTGGCTTGTTACCTCAATCTTGAGTATACAGACTAATACAGACACCAGTTTGTTTAAGGAGAAAAAAACTCACTACTTTTTTTTTTCCTGTTTTTAAACAAGTGGCAAACCTTCTGCTGGTACTGAGGGTGAGTCTGACTGTCCAGGTGGAGTTTCAGAATAAGAGAAATCCTCTGGCATAGACCAGGAATTGGAAGAGCACAGTGTCTCTCAGAGCATTTTGCTGGATTTGAAGTTTAGGCTTGCATGACTGCCTTTATTTATTAATTCTGACAAATATTAGTATTTATGTGAAAAGTGCAGATTCTTTGTTACTTTTCTTTCAGAAAGGCAAAGAAAAATGTGGAAGCCCTGGGAAGCTCTTCAGAAAACAGGCAGCCTTGTGACGTGCAGGCCACAGAGTCAGCTGAGGCGGAGGCCAAAGGCACAAGTGATGATCATCCTTTTCCAGAACCCAGGCTCCCCTATCCATTCACCTCTTGTCTGTCTGAGAAGGAGCAGAAAACATACTTATATCTGATGACTAAGTACTCAAAAAAAATCAACCATTTTCAAGTTAATGCAGCAAGTCAAAGGGAACTGTTCACATATTTGGTGAGTGCACAGCTATGGACACAGCAGTGTCACAAAGGGAGCCCTACAATTTTTTTGTTACAAAGAATAAAGGGGAAGGTGGGAACATTGGTTTTTAAATTCAGTTTGTTGATGTGCTGCCACATCAGTGCTCACAGAAGTAGAAGGGCTCGAGTGCACCCTTGCAGCTGAGCCTTAGCCATGTGTTTAAATGGCTGTGGCCTTGTTGGATGGAAGTATCATTTGAGCTGAATCCTGTAAAGTGTAATTAACAGCAAATGTTTTTGAGCCATTCCATTTGGTTTCCCATGCTTCCTTTTTAATGCTAATTCCTTTGTTTTATGCCATAACAGTGGGAATGTCGTTCCTGGGCACATGAGTATCTACTGCGTTGTTGTTACTTTTGGTACAATTTCTGGGGAAGTCAGAGTCAGATACTTTGTGGCTTTATCATGTAAACTTCGTCAACAATGTCCTGCAGCCTTTCTTTTTATAAAGCACCATACCAAAAGAGGCTTGCTGTTTGTTGGGTGATGGTGTTTTGTTGGTTTGGGATTTTTTTTTTTAAGGAAATGGGCCTCACAAAAATTTCTTTTCCTGGAGTGAACCTGTGAGCATTTGCCAAACTGAGCAGCAAGTGGAATCTACGCCCTCCCTCGTACCATTGCCTGTACTGCCTCTCTGGAAGTTTTGCTGGTTAAATACCTAGCATAGAGGATTCTGTTCTGTTTTAAAAGTCGATTTTTCCTTTCCCCAGCAAATGAAAGAAGTGGTAAACAATGAAATAGCAGAATTTATGAAATTTGCCCAAAATGCTGCAAGAAGCTGTGCCCAGGATTACGATGCCATCTCGGAAGATGCACTGCGTTATACTGAGGTCAGTGCCGGGTGCCATTCCGTCTTTTCTGAGCTAATCCCATTGGAATTGTGTAGGAGATACACAGGCACGGCCCGTGGGATGTGCTGGTCCCTGAACTTGTGCTGATTCCAT